AAGAAAAAATATCCCCCTCTAGTGGCAGAAGGCGGAATAGCAGCTTCCCATTAGTTTCTATGGACGGAAAAGAGCAGATACAGATTAAATGGTTTTCAATGCATTCCTATGGGAAATGCAGATTCGACCTAAGAACTTTTCGACCTAAGAACCACCTTCCAATATGGATTAAGTTCGTAAGTTGAGACCCCACTGTATGGAATCTAGCAAACTTTATTGCACCAGAAAGACTGTATGAGAGAAAAAAGGACCAAAAGGATTTAATGTAGCAATGCACTATAATTTGGAAAAAAATGTTCCTTTTTGTGGGAGCCTGCTGGCTGGGAAATGCTGGGGGGGGGGAGTCATCCAAAAAAGTAACTTTTCCAAGCTATGCAGTGTGCATATGAGACTGGTGAAAGGGAGGATTATCCCAAAGAACCATGCTCGATTTGAGCATTTAAATAGCCTTTTGTATCTACACACAAGAAGACAGAGTACCTTGACAGTTTGAGCTGCAAAGACCGCATGCTCGATGGCAATGCAAAGGGCCATGGAAGGGGTAGGAAATAATATAGTCCCCATCATTTGAGTGTTGATAAAAACTTTTAATGCCCGATTTGGGTTGTGATTTGCAGATGCATTTGGAATCTGAAGGTTTTTAAAATTGTTTTTCTGGTTGTTGAATTGCTGAACTGGGAGTTTAAAGTGCTGCTTTCAATAGAATGATTTAAAAACTGCACATCAGCCTGAGCAACTGAAGGGATAATGTATAAAATTGTATATAAGTACAGTCAATGGCTAGGCCTTTAGCAATCTGCTACAACTATACAGGCAGATGCATTTGGAATCTGAAGGTTTTTAAAATTGTTTTTCTGGTTGTTGAATTGCTGAACTGGGAGTTTAAAGTGCTGCTTTCAATAGAATGATTTAAAAACTGCACATCAGCCTGAGCAACTGAAGGGATAATGTATAAAATTGTATATAAGTACAGTCAATGGCTAGGCCTTTAGCAATCTGCTACAACTATACAGTACTTATACCCTGAGCAACTGAAGGGATAATGTATAAAACTGTATATAAGTACACTCAATGGCTAGGCCTTTAGCAATCTCCTACAACTATACTTATACTTGATTTTTTAAATCTTTATGTTTACTTGTTTTTTAAATGTGGTATAGTGTTTTAAAATGTCCTGTTTTATCCATTGTGAGCCAGCTTGGGTTCCCTATGGGGAGAAAGGTGGCACATAAACAAATAAACTAAATAATGGTTTGCAGTAAAGATTCTTAAGGTTGTACCCTTAAACACTGTTCTGGATGATGGGTTTATTTGTTCAGTGTACAGACTTAAATTCTTATGTATAACTATACAGTCAGAGCATATCCACTTGATGCTGCACTCCTGTTGCAGGCATGTATCCTTTTGTCCTTTCTGCCCCATGGGAATAGTGGCTCTGTGAGCTGCAAAGGAACTGGGAATCAGAGAAGTCCGGATCTCCCTCCCAACCAGCTCCAATTGCTGGAAGGAACTGGTGAATCCAACCCACTGTTTGAACAGATGGTAGCTCAGGATATTCACCGAAGACCATTACAGCAGCATTCCCTGCTGAATCATTATTGGCTAAATGACTGACAGATATATTATTTTTCACAAATAGTACTGTATTTTTATTATAGGGAGCAATCATGGTGCAAGTTGTAGAAAATTCTTTAAATAAATACTATAAAGATACATTTTCAGGTGTGGAACATCATCAACTATATAATTAAAGTTCCCCAAGGTAAGCTATAAGCTCTTTTGGGGGAGAATTCACTCTCTGGGCAAGAGGAGCCTAAAGTTAGTTGCATGGCTACAAGCTTACATGAAGGATTATTACTGTTAAATAAATTTCTAAGTTTATCACTGGAATAAAGTAGTTTTTAAGGATGATGTAGCAACAATACTACCATTCTGAACACTACTTTTAAGCTATAAAACAATGGCTTCTGTATACTAAGTCATCCAAATTCTCATTGCATTCACCTTATTCTTAATATCATCTTCAAGTTGAGGTGAGGGGGATCTATCTGGAGAAATGCCTTTCTTTTGACCAAGATTTCCAGGGCTGTTTCTTTCAACCAGCTGAAGGAGTTCCATTTGTCGCCGAGCTTTCTTTTCTTCCCTTTGCTTCTGCATCCGTCTTGGATATTTTTCTGATGCTGGAATGTATCTTTTGCAAGGTTTGTTTATATTCCAGTCTGGCCTTTTCCCATTCCTCTCCCTGTTTAGTTTTTGTTTTTGTGCAGATTGTTCATTCAGATTGTTACAGCTGACAATATTCTCTTTTTCTGAAATCTTTTTATTCAGATACTGTGCTTCCTTTTTACATTTTTTGCTGCTGAAATCTACTTGATATTCTACAGGAGTATCTGGAGATACACAGTCAATTCTTCTTTCTCCATTTTGCTCAGTAGGAGAATTGGCATGTATGTCAATGCTAGCATTCTCTAATAGAAAAAAAATACATATTTGATGGTGATGTAATCCTCATATCAATATGAAGTATATGTAAATTATAGACCAAAATTGGTCAGTACAAATCTTGACTTTCATTTTTTTCTTTGAACAATGAAGCAACATTACAGATTGACATTTTAACATTTTCAAGCATACTGTACTTTTCTGTGTATAAGACACCCCCATGTATAAGATGCCCCCACTTTTATAACCCAAAATTAAGAAATCTAAGTAGGGCTTAGCAAGTGGAGGGGGAAAGGGATCAAAGCGCTGCAGGATCGCTTTGATCCCTGCTTTCTCCCTTCGTGCTAAGCCCCTCATGCAGCCATGAGATTGCTTTGATCCTTTCCCCTTTCCTTTTGCTAAGCCCCATGGGTTAAAAAATCTAAGTAGGGCTTAGCAAGTGGAGGGGGAAAGGGATCAAAGTGCTACATGATCACTGTGATCCCTGCTTTCCCCACCACTTGCTTTTGTTCTCTTCTCAGCTTCTGTGTATAAGACGACCCTTAATTTTTAGTTTAAAGATTTTAGACAAAGGTATTGTCCTATACACAGAAAAATATGGTACCTTTCAAAATCTGAATAATGAAATCAAATACTTCTAGCACAGCCCTATGCAAATCATCTTAGTATTTTTTCACATTCAGTTGATACTCATTTATCAATTAAAACGTGATACCTTTGTAAGCAATATTTCCCAAATAATTGATGAAATTCACAGGAGCATGTACAGTAGTGCCTTGGTAGACAATTGCCTCGTGGGATGAAAAACCCGCAAGACGATTGGTTTTTGCGATCACTATGGTGCCTCGCAAGACTTTTTTTCTATGATCATGCTTCGCAAGACTTTTTTAAAACCAACTCTTCGCAAGACTTTTTTTTTTGAGACCGATGCTTCACAAGACTTTTTTTTGAGACCGATGCATAGGGAACCTCGCAAGATGATTTTTTCACAAGATGACGATTTTTGTGGAATGAATTAAAATAGTCTTGCGAGGCACCACTTATATTCTTTTTCTTCCAAGAAAAACACTTTCCAGTGATGCAGGCAATGCAGTTTGAAAACCAACGCTTTCAAAAATAACTACAAACCAACGAGGCATTTTGACATCATATGCTAATTCCTCTGAATGATACTGGAAATCTATTGCTCAAGAGACATTTGTCCGTTTTAAAAAAAGCAATGGTTAAAATCAGGGTGTCCAGGTTTAAAGACAGAATCAATGAGATATTAATTTCAGACATCAAACAGTCATTAATCAACTATATATACCTTTAACTAAGCAATTAAAGGTAGTTTTCTAGATCAATGTCTGTTTCTAAAAAGTGTTCAGATAGATGGACAAGGGGCAACCAGCTGAATCTGAATTCAGACATTACTTTGGTTTGGAAGTGTGAAATCTTTAGTAAGTCATTATCTGCTATTGATGGGATGGTTGCTATCCTGTTGGAAGAGATGTGCCATCTCACTTTGCCTTGAATCAGCTGGAACGACTGGAAAACCAAGTGGTGGTGGCAGCAGTGTTAGCAGGGATGCTTTTTT